CCCCAAAACCCCAAAACCCCAAAACCCCAAAACCCCATATCAAGGCCAGCGGGATGAAATTTTAAAATATATATGAAAATACTAACTCTAGTGCTCCTTGTTTGTCTTTTAGGAGCTGTTTTGAGTGCAGATTCTATAAAGAAATCTGAGGAGATAGAAGATCAGGAAGATACACCTTGACTTGTTCATATGAGAACAGTTCTGAGCCCACAAGGACTAGGAGACCTGATTCAGATAGCCTTGAATAGTGCCAAGGGCCCTAATCAACTCGGTGATTTTGAAGCATGTAAGGCAGAAACAGTCGAGTACATCTTGTTAGCACTTGAACTCCAACCCCTCAATATGCCTGTTGTAAGAATGGGTCTCTGTGTCCCAAGCGAATGCGCAAATCAGGATAGTTTTAAGGATATTTCAAATTTTATTAAGAAGCAAGCTGAGCCATACTTACCAGAAGATATGGACATCATTGCTAAGGTTACTGTTCCAAGAGAGGTTCTTGCACAATCTATGTCTACAGGCGCTATTATTGTTTTGATAGTCACAGGTCTCGTAGGAGTCCTTTGGCTTTTGGGAATGCTAATTACTTATACAAACATTGGTAATAATGGAAACTTCAGATCAGATAAGATTGAAGAGAAGAAGATGACTTGGGCCCTTGCTCTCCACTCATTCAATCCGATAGTGAATCTCCAGAAATTATTCACTGTCAAGGACGGAGGTGATAAGACTTTGAATGTACTCAACGGTGTCAGAGTGCTCAGTATTGGATGGGTAATCCTTGGCCATTCATTCTCCTTCGTTTTCTTCGGAGCTGTTGTAAACACACAAACTTTGTCAACATTGTTTGATAGTGATTTGTTCTCTCTTGTTCCGGGAGGAGTTTTTGCGGTAGACTCATTTTTCTTCCTTTCTGGATTCTTGACATTCGCCCTATTGATCTCAAAAATGTACCCAAAGAGAGGAATGATTGGAATAGTCAATACTATCCTTATCTATTTCCACAGATATTATAGGCTCATCTTCCCATTGGTATATATTCAGTTCTTCACTATGTATGTGGTCAGATACCTAGGAAACGGGCCAATGTATAGGTAAGTCTCGTCTTTTATTATTTTTGTTCTATTCCATCTCATTGCAAAATTTATATTAGAAAGTTGTCGGTAATCCAATATCGAAGAGGATAGTCTTTTCTAAGGTTTTGATTATTAATTAAATTTTGCTATAGGACAGGTTGGGATTTCTTGAATCAGTCATGATTTGCTAATCCCTGGTCCAACTTCTTGTTTATTGCCAACTTTTATCCATGGCAGATGGCAAGAGCTTGCATTGGATGGGTCTGGTATCTCATGTGTGACATGCAGTTCTTTATTATCAGCCCTCCGTTGATCGTGATATACTGCCTCAATAGGAAGATTGGAAAACTTGTGGTGCTCTCATTGATTATTATTTCAATGATAATCAATGGAATCTTAGCCCTTGTCTGGGATATCTCTATGGATGGAAAATCTTCCAAAAACCAGAACGTAGGGGATGTGGTCTACAACAAGCCTTGGAGTAGGATGGGCGCTTACTTTGTTGGAGCCATGTTCGGGATTTCCTACTTTGAGCTATCCTGCAGAGAGAAGTATCAAGGACTCTCAAACACTATTTTTAACAAGTGCTATGACATTCTGAAGAATTCACAGATTATTTCGCTCTTGGTGTGTTGATTCGGAATTGGACTTACAGCTTTGTATGTTTTTCCTAATGCTGCTTACGGAAGAGGCTGTGTCAGTTTAAATTCCACAACTAGTGAAAACTGTTGGCCCTTATGGCTCTCATTTTTGTATGTGACTACATCCAGACCCTTTTTTGTATTCGGGCTTGGCTTGATACTGATCCCTACATTCGTTGGAAGATTAAGAGTTATTAAGGCCTTTTTAGGAGCTGAAACTTTTGAAGTTTTTGCAAGGCTTAATTATATGGTTTATATGATTCATTGTGTCGTATTATTCCATTTCCTCAATAACCTAAAGACGAGTTTATATATCACAGCTACCACACAATGGTTCTTTGCTATTGGATCAACTGTGATTTCTTTTATGGTTGCTGTTCCTTTAACTCTCATCTGTGAAGTTCCATTCATGAACCTTGAGAAATATGTCCTCTTCCCCAAAAAGCACAAGCCTCAGGCTGAAACCATCCCTATTGAGGCTCAGAATACCAAAGTTGAAGGAAACGGCCAATTCTACAAGTTTGTGGACCATGATGACACGATGGAATCTGGGAAGAGGCTTTTGGAGAAATCTTAATTTTATCAGATGTGCTTAGGCAATCATCTAAGTTCAAGGAGAATCTTGAACATTGGGGTTTTGGGGTTTTGGGGTTTTGGGGTTTTGGGG